TAACACACCACGTTTAGGTGCATTTAGGCGCGTTTACAGGTGTCAAGTGTTTTTTCTGCCAAAACGCTGCTGCTCCAGGACGCACAGGCCCTAGCTTTATTTTCCTGCTGGTAAACGCTACTGCTAGTAAAAGCTTCTAAAAGTCTATGTGTGCATTGACACATAGGATAATATGGAGGGTCGTTTGGAAGCAGTAGAAAAAAAACTGCCTGATGCCCCTAAACGTGGCTGCAAAAACTCCCTGTGTTCATGACGCCTTAGTGTTCATGCAAACACAACATTTTTAATGCTGCTTTTATGGGAGTCTAGCGTATTTTTCTGTCTCTAAACACCCCTCCATGTAAGCCAATGCATCCATGCACACATGAGCTTTTAGAGTAGTTTGGAGCCAGGGCAGGGGCGGACTGACAACTCATGGGGCCCCCGGGCAATAGGGGATCATGGGGCCCCTGTGTCCTTGCCCAAACTCAAAAAAGCCTATGAAAAAGGTACCAGGGGCATCTCATGGGGCCCCCTACTGACCCCGGGCCCTCGGGCAGTGCCCGAGTTTCCAAATGGTCAGTCTGCCCCTGAACCAGGGTCGTTTAGAGGTAGAAAAAAACCCATTGCCAGAGTATCCAGAAGCAGCTGCATTTTGACAGAAAAACACTTGATGCGTGTAAACCTGTCTAAGTGTGCATTAACCCCTTCCCGCCGGCGCCTCCCGGCCCTTTAAGAGTTTCAGGAGCTGGGAGGCGTCATCACGGCGGGCGGGTTTAGGGATCATGTGACCGCCTTGACGCGTCATCACGGCGGTCACATGATCGGGAAAGGTCCCGATCGAAAGATCAGACCGGGACCTTTCCGTGAGTACCGGACATGTGTGCTGCGAGCGTGCAGGGTGCGTGCTCTCAGCACATATGTTTTTTGTTAATTGCACGCAAATGTGCGGCCGCTCGGCGTCTAGGCTCAGATGCCGGGAGGCCGCACATTTGTGTGCTGCTTGCGTGAAGAGGTTAAAGCTAGGTGCATAAGGCACTTAAGTGTTAATTCATTTCAATGGGTTAAATTCTGGCCAGTGAAATTAATCAACAGCCAAGTGCTTAAAGCGGAGTTCCACCTGGAAGAAAAAAAAAAGTCAGCAGCTTCAAAAACTGTAGCTGCTGACTTTTAAAATACAGCCACTTACCTGTCCCTCGGTCCAACTGTGTCCTCATCACCGTTGGTTTCACCGGCCATCTTCTCTCCCTGGCGCCAGCATCTTCAGTTTGGGCACCTGGCTGTGACAGCTTGCGGCTTCACAGCTAGGTGCCCACTGCGCATGCGCGAGAAGCTCTGCGCTTTGTGAATGGTCCTGTAGTATTCTGGGAACTGTCACATGTCCCAGAAGACTATGGGGAGGGTAGGGAGGGTAGGATTTTTGCTTCTGATCACCTAGGCAATCGCAGTGGAAGTAGGTACCTGTCAAATTCAGGTTCCCGCTCCCCCCCAAGACTTATTTTTTTCAGGTACTTATATAGCGTTGTCAATTTACGCAGCGCTTTATATCTATATTGTAAATTAACATCAGTCCCTAACCTTCAAGGGGCATACAATCTACGGTCCCTAACTCACACATACACATACTAGGGACAATTTAGACAGGATCCAATTAACCTACCAGCATATCTTTGGAGTGTGGGAGGAAACCAGAGTATCCAGAGGAAACCCACACAGGCACAGGGAGAAAATGCAAACTCCAGGCAGGTGGTTCAGTGGCTGGGATTTGAACCAACAACCCTAGTACTGCTAGGCGGAAGTGCTAACCATTTAGCCATTGTGCACCCCTTTTGGGTGGAGCTCCGCTTTAAAGCACCTAAAACGCAGGAAGAGGAAAGGCATTTAGGAGTTAGAAGTGAGCTAATACCCTGTGTGCACGGGGCTTTCTGTCCGGCAGCAAAAAGGGTGGGCTTTAATGTCCACACTCTGTACAACGTACATATGTGTCACTGGGCAGCCAACGTTTCTGTGTTGTCAAGTACAGATACAGCTCTTGGTCCCAACTAATGATCAGTAGCTGTCAGGCCTGACTCCCGGTCATGTGACCCCATGTGACAGCCAATCACAGTAGTGACATGATCGCAGTTAGGACACTGCTACTGTGCAAAGTAGACTATGACTATAGAGGAGTTTTAGTACAATGTCTTTGTAATTGTTCATCTTATTCTGTGTCTTCAATTTAATTTTAAATGAAACTAATGAACCACACATTGTGGCACGGCACTTAAATTCAATCAAAATTGCCATTCCATTCAAAATTGCAGTCCCATTGACTGGGATGGGCAAGTTTGACAGGCAGTGCCACCTGTCAACTCAACAATCCATGTTAAATTTGTTGTGGTCACAATGCAAATCATCGCAGCCCTTGGCACACAGTATGTATGGTCCTTATTGGCTGTATGCCATATTTTAGGCCAGGGGTCTCCAAACTATGGCCCTCCAGGTGTTGAGGAACTGCAATCCCATGAGGCCTTGCAAGACTCTGACATCCACAGGTAAGACTCCCAGAGGTAGAGGCATGAAGGGACTTGTAGTACTTCAACAGCTTGAGGACCATAGTTTGGAGACCCCTGTTTTAGGCCAACCATGGCTCAGCCACATATTATCACTGCCCCTCCCCATGGCCTCCAGCGTAAAAGAGGCCTAAGAGAAACATTTAAAGTGGTTGTAAACCCTTACATATACCCAGTGAAGTGACTGGCCTCAGGTGATACACAGAGATGAAACAAATCCTCCTAAATAAATTGTACCTGTTTATCTGCAGTCTTCAGTTCTCTACATATTATTGCAAAATTTATACAGCTTGTCTGAGAATTAAAAAAAAGGGAGCTGAAAGCTGAATTTACACTCTGCAGAGTTCAGTGAAGAGAGCTCTTAGAGCTGATTGGAGGAAAGAGACACGCCCCCTTCCACACTGCTCACAGGAAGAGAGCTGAGGCTGTCAATTGGCTGGAGGTCCCTCCCCTGTCACCAGTTTTCTATTGGTGTCAGGAAAACATGTCAGATGTGATTCATGCTGATAGCAGAGAAACAAAGCAGCAGACAGAAATGACACTTAGTGCTCTGTATTGAGACAAGTACACACTATAGAAGGATATGCTTTGTTTATGTTTCACATCTGAGGTTTACAACCACTTTCATTTTCAAACATTTTATTGAAGAATTATTGAAAGACACAATGACAACCCAAAAAGTATAAAACACATAAAACTTCACTTTGTTCATTTTCAATATAAGGCTGTTTATTAGCCACTGATCTTACAATGCTGAGCTGCAGAGTGCCTCCTGGACAGTCCAAGTAGCTTCATACAATCTGCCCCCAGTAGTTAGCAGGAAATCGTATGAAAGGATTATCCCTGGAACAGGCCAGACGCTGGAGGATGAATAGAAGCAGAGCCTCCCTGTGATTTCTAATCTGCTCTAGCAGATGTGTATAGAGCCGGCTGGAGCTCTGCGTTGTGTCTCCAAGCTGCTGAGTGCCACCATGTGGAGAAGACCATGGAATCCTACCAGGAGCACAAGTGTGCTGAATACAGCTTTAATATTGAAACTGATTTAGAAGAAATAGTCAAAGTTTATTCAAAACTAGAGCCAAACTAATGATTTACTCCATAGCTGTCCCTGATAGTATGTCCCTCTTGTGGTGTCTTACAATATAGGCCCGGTGGCCTCCCTTATGCAGGCCATAGACGGGTCGAAAACCGTCTGTTTTAAAAAAAAAAAAAAGAAAAATTGGTTGTTCAATAGGCCGACGTTACTATCAACGGTAAAAAAAAATCAGCCAATTTTCGTCCAGTCTACGGCCGGCATTTAATTACTTCTGTCCCTGCAGAGAGTTCTGCTATTATATTTGAGATGAAAAAGTATAGCGGCTGCAACATTGTATCCATTTGTATAAATTTCGGATACAGATGTTTTTATTCGGATACAAATAGATACAATGTTGCAACCGCAATACTTTTTCATGTCAAATATAATAGCGGACTGGAAGTCTTATTCTTTTCCTTTTTTCTTCTTTTTCTTCTTCTTCGTCCTCTTCTTCTTTTTCCTTTTTTTCTTCTTTTTCTTCTTCTTTTCTTCTTTTTCTTCTTCTTTTCTTCTTCTTCTATCAGGTCACGGCTCAAGCGCAGATTTTTTTTATCGGTAAAAAGATTGGCTGATTTGCCCATCATTGCCACGAAAATTAGGCAATCGGGAAAATCGGCCGATTTTTTTTCCAACTTCACCGATAAAAAAAGTGCCAAAATCCCGAAAAAAAACGGCCGACCAATTAACCCACTAACGGTGCAAAAATCGGCCGAAAAATCGGCCGAAAAATTTTTTCGACAAGTCTATGGCCTGCATTAGTATTGCTGCAGATGTACAGGTTTGAGTCACACCTATTCAGTTTGTTTTTGATCATTTCTGCAGTGCTTTTTTTTGGTGTGTTTTGCATTTTTGCACTCGTTTTTGATGCGTTTTGTGGTTTTGATGCTTCTTTTGGCTAATTTGTTGTTGGGCAGATTAAAAAACACAAAACACGTAAAAAAATGTGTCAATAACTGTATGCTTTTTCTGTAGTGGCTCCATTGAAGTCTATTGAACCAAAACCGCACTGTTTTGCATATAAAAAAGTCCCAAACGCTTTCCAAAAAAAACTGCAGCAACTGAAGAAAGCATAGATGCAGGGGCGGACTGACAACTCATGGGGCCCCCGGGCAATAGGGGATCATGGGGCCCCTGTATCCTTGCCCAAACTCAAATAAGACTATGAAAAAGGTACCAGGGGCATCTCATGGGGCCCCCTACTGACCCAGGGCCCTCAGGCAGTGCCCGAGTTTCCAAATGGTCAGTCCTCCCCTGGTCAGGCCTCATGCACAATGGACGTTTTGCAATCTCTCCTAGAAGCCTCCTGGCAGCAAAAAACACCTGATGCATGTTTACAGGCATAAAGCGCATGGGCATTAATTCATTCTATTGGCCAGAATAATTATTTATTCTAGCCATTGAAATGAAGTAGAGCTCAAGAGTTACACATGTTTACAAGCATCAAGTCCTGCTCTTGGACACACTGGCAGGGGTGTTTTTTTTTTCTGCCTCTAAAAGCCCCTAAATGCTGCTAAAAGTCTATGGGGTTGATTTCCTAAAACTGGAGAGTGCAAACTCCAATGTACTTCAAACAGGTAGTAGAGGACCCTAACGCTGAACTATAACTTTGGGGTGAAAGTGGTACTGAACAGGGGCTCCTGGACAAGGATACAGTCCTGAGTGTACTGGCAGTAAAGCAAATCTCTCAAAAGAGGCCAAAGAAAGTCTCTAAGTCAAGAAGACTGGTACTCACTGGGGTAGATTTACTAAAGTTAGATGACTACTGTAGAACAGAGCATCCCCAGTCAAATAGTAGCTGGGGCCCCATAAAATATTCCTACAGCTGCAGGTGGATCTCCCAGGGATGCTACAGCCCTCAGTCTGGGTCTTACTTCCCCAGGAACAAGAGACCTCTACTCTGGGTTCCAGCCTATTTATACCCCTCTCAGCCCCCTGCTGGTCACTCTCCATATTGACCAGGGATTGGCTGGAGACACATTATTATTCAGGCAGAGGTCTGTGACACCCGCTATGTCCCAGGGTCCCCTGGGAGAAAGTGGGACCTAGCCAAGCCCACACCAGCAGAGCCCAGAGAAGACTTTGCCCAACAATTAGTGCTCTCCCTAACTACAGGGAGGCCACAAACTAAATTTAAACAACTGTAGCCTAAGGAGCCCTACACAAGTTTTACTTGCTACGGTGCATTCCGGCATCCAAAGGTATAATAGCTAGGCCATGGTCTGCCTAAAACAAGGTTGTTCGATGGTTGTTAGAACTTTTAAATGTAATTGAACACAACAGCATTACACCGTGTTCCAAATTATTATGCAAATTGTATTGTTCTCGTTTACGTAAATAATTGATGTAAATAACAGTCAGCATAATTCTCATGTTATCAGCTATTAAGAGTACAATCCAAATTTTATTGAACAAACTTCCTAATGATAACAGTATTTTTTTTTAAACATAAAACACTTCCAATGCACTGTTCCAAATTATTACACACAGTAAGTTTCAATACACTTTATAGGTTGTAAAGAACTGAAAATTGTCATTTGTTGTGTTTGCAGCATATTTACTGAAATCAAAAGCTATTTCAATCAAATTTTTAACAACATTTTAACTTTTTAAACATTTTAAACAGGTCACGTTCCATTGTAACATAGGACCCCTTATTTGATAGCCGCTTCACAAGTCTTGCATCCAATGAACTTGTGAGTTTTTGGACAGTTTCTGCTTGAATTTGTTTGCAAGATGTCAGAATAGCTTCCCAGAGCTGCTGTTTGGATGTAAGCTGCCTCCCACCCTCATAGATCTTTTGCTTGAGGATGCTCCAAAGGTTCTCAATAGGATTGAGGTCAGGGGAGGATGGAGGCCACACCATGACGTTCTCTCCTTTTATCCCCATAACAGCCATTGATGCAGAGGTATTCTTTGCAGCATGAGATGGTGCATTGTCATGCATGAAGATGATTTTATTACAGAAAGCATGGTTCTTACTTCTGTACCAGGGAAGAAAGTGGTCAGTGATAAACTCCACATACTTTGCAGAGGTCATCTTTACACCTTTGGGGACCCTAAAGGGGCCGAACAGCCCTGTTCCCATGATTCCAGCCCAAAACATGACCCCACCACCTCCTTGCTGACATCGCAGCCTTGTTGGAACAGGGTGGCCGTCCACCAACCATCCACTACTCTATCCATCTGGACCATCCAGGGTTGCACGGCACTCATCAGTGAACAGGACTGTTTAAAAATTAGTCTTCATGTATTTTTCTGCCCAATGCAGCCATTTCTGCTTGTGAGCATTGGTTAGTGGTGGCTGAATAGAAGGTTTATGCACAGTTGCAAGACTCTGGAGGACTCTACACCTTGATGTCCGTGGGACTCCAGAGGCACCAGCAGCTTCAAATATCTGTTTGCTGCTATGTAATTGGATTGTAGCAGCTGCTCTCTTGATCCGATGCATGGATCTGGCAGAAATCTTCCTCAATGTGCCTTTATCTGCATGAACCCGTCTGTGCTCTGAATCAGCCACAAATCTCTTAATAGTGCGTTGATCACGCTTAAGTTTTCATGAAATATCTAATGTTTTCATACCTCGTCCAAGGCATTGAACTATTTCACTCTTTTCGGCAGCAGAGAGATCCTTTTTTTCCCCAATATTGCTTGAAAATGGTGCTCTGCTTAATAATGTGGAACACCCTCCTTTAGTAGTTTTTCCTTAAATTGGGCTCACCGGCCAATCTAATTATCACAGGTGTCCGAGATTGTTTTCAGTGATCAAAAGAGCCCTGACACACAATGCCATCCATGAGTTAAACTGAAAAACAAAATATTTAAACTTTGTGACACTTAAATAGAATTTGCATAATAATTTGGAACACGGTGTAAGTGTACACAGCTTTCATGAAAGGAGACTAAAAAAAAAACCTGACTTGTAAAAAGCCTAAGTGGACCATATGCAGAGGAGTACTGTACTTTACTTTGTCATGCCTGAAAGTTCAAGCACCAGCCAATGTAGAAGAATAGAGATTTCAATGATAAATGCCTGAAATATGCATGCACAGTTGAAGAATATTTAAAACAGGCAGGTAGGATTTTTTTTTTTGCAGAAAACTGCATGGGGTTTATTTACTAAAGGCAAATATGCTGAGAACTCTGCGATGGAATTTGTGCTTAGTACCTCGTACTACATGACAGGAAGAGAGAATGAACTATCCAAGGTAGTTCATTGAGAACTATAAGCTGACAGCCGCAAAGACTGTTGGTACTTGTAGTTTCCCATTCGCAAAACTCTGTGAATAAATGACGTGGCCAGGCAGGCAGTGTTTTTTTTTTTTAAATAGTGACAGCGAGCAGGGGGAGAAGATCCCCCGCTTGCTGTCACTGGAGGCAGAGGACTGGACGGTGGCTGAAGGAGTGGGAACATGTTACATGTTCCACCCTAAAAATGGGTGGAATATGTAATATGTTCCCCAAGGTGAACATATCCATTAAAGCGAAAAAAACCTCCCTTCTTTAACCTGGATGAGACAATTTATGTTAACATCTCGCAACCCAGATCCATAGCACATCCAAACACTGCATCCTTAGTACAATAATATCTTGTGAGCCTGTTGCTTCCATATACATGTATGTAGCCCTGTATTGTTCCCCATTGTCATCTGGTTGTTAATGTTCTTTGAAACATTTTAGCAAAAACTAATTAAAACACATCCTCTCTAGCTCCTGAAGAAGTATTTATGAAACGCGTCGAACACAACCCTACCACCAAGCAACAGCACAAATCTATAAGATAGTTTAATAATATGTTACATTATTTGTGCAGTGATGGAGGGATACTTTTAATAAGAAGACCTATAAGACCATGTCATCCTCTTACAGTATTTTTAGGATACACAAGTTTTAATTTGGCCTCAGTAAATAGAATGTGATTATATTGATATGTTTACTATAAATTATAACCTTAAAAATCCAAATATTTGAATTTTCTTGTATGCTTCCAAGTAGTCAGTACCGCCTAGCAATGCTGTGATTTATGAGTAGAGATGAATAAATGAAAGCTTGGTTAGCAGGCCATTCAATTGGTTCCACCATTAAGTTGGAAAATTGCAAATTTACTCCAAACCCTATCAAAGTTTATGGATCTGGGCACTGTGATGGGGAACATGTACCAATGCAAAAAATATAAAAACAAGATAGTGTACAGTGATTAGAGAATCCTCCTTTTTATTGCTTTATAACTTCGAGGAGGGTATTGGAAAACATCATTAATTTCTATTATACTTTAGAGTTGCCTTTATGTTGCAGTTGGTGTTACGACTTAAAGGAGAAGTATAGCCGAAGCTATTTTGGCTGCACTTCTCCTGTGGGTCACAGAAGTGCAGTTAGTTCTGTTACCCATTTTCAGCCAACAGCTAAAGCCCGCTGTCAGCTGAAATCACAGTGCCAGCACAGGCTCTGAAATGATCCCGACCATGTGGTTAGGATCTACCCAGAAGCCTGCACCGGCAACTGGCTCAGCCTCTCAGAATGCCTGACCAAACCGCTTCTGCCTCCTCCACAGCCCGGTGCTCCAGTGAGCCCTGGAAGAGCAGAACAGTTATATAATGCTCAGAGTGAAGGGGAGAATTGAGTAATAGGAGGTGTTTGATAGCTCAGTTCTTAGTGCTGAGTCAGTGTGGGACAGATGCAGCATCAGATCAACAGCATCCACCAACGTGAGTATAACTTTTTTTGAAATCCCATATTTCTCTTTTAAATACAACAGTGTGTGTATTTACTGTAGTTTAAATGCAGAAGCAGCACTCCAGTCTAATTCATTTCAACTAGGTTTGGCTGTAGCATCTTCCTGAATTGAATGGCGGAAGTAGCAGCTGTAACAGATCTAAAAGTTATAGGAAAAGGTAAAGCCCTCAATTTGGAACCAACTGGCCAGCAGCAAGAAAATTCTAATAGCATAGTTTGTGATGTTCTTTTTTCACATTTCCACACTGTATTGTCTTAAAAGTTCAATAAAATGCCAAAACAGAGTCCACAAAAATATTTCAATGCCACAACCCTTTATTCCAGAAACAAGGTCGTTTTTACCAGGAAAAAAAAATTAAAGTGCCATATTTCAGACATTAGCCAAGCATATAGCACAGTGGTAGAGGAGTATGTATGCTTCTTGATTGTGCTGCAATGTAAGAGAGAGTCAAAGCAGTTTTTATCATGAAATAAAAATTAGAGTTTCATATTTTAAAGCAATGCCCTGTGTTATAAACACACCAGACATCATGACTGGGGACGGTCCCTTTGGACTAGTCTGTAGGGTAATAAAGGGGTTAAGCGACAGCAGAAGGGCAGGATAGTGAAGGGGTGTGATCAGGGGCGGACTGACCATTTGGAAACTCGGGCACTGCCCGAAGGCCCAGGGTCAGTAAGGGGCCCCATGAGGTGC